GGACCCTATTAATCTGAAAGACAAATGACTTTACGCCTTCATTGGTGCGTTGAAAGTGAACTTCTATCCACAATAGTCATTTCATATGTGGACCGTTCGTAGAATCGAGGCGTGGTGAATCGAAAATTAGTATTTCTTCAACTTTAGCGTCAGGAATCGGCGGCCCGATGTCTCATCGAGTTGATTAACGTCTGCCGAAATCACGTTGCGTTCAACGCTCTAGAGGAGCCGGAGGAGGAATCCACAATGAGGACTACCACATCTGCCAACGCCGCCGAGAACGACAAACTCGAGGCTCTACTACTTGCAAAGTCTCTCGCCGTCCTGGATGCCTTTGAAAGGTATGTGGAGTAATTGGGACGTCAATATACCATCCATTTGGAGCATTGATTTTGACAAATGGACTTCATTGTCCACCCCCTCGTACCAGCACTTCAAGATGCACTGCCTAAGTATCACATACTGCATGCATGTAGTTGTGGAAGTGATATTTGGGTACGAAATGTGTGATTCTTTGCTTTGCCGAACCACACCTTATAAGTATGGTGATGGTCACGTGGCCCTTTGTATTAGCGCCAAAACTATATCGCTCTTTTAAAACCAACGCCACAAATACGGGGAATGTGGGTCTTGGTAAGTAGGGGAGGTTTTATGTTGCTAAGATGGAGTTTGAATTGGTCTAGCTGGTTAAATATAGTCGATACGATAGTTATAAATGGGTTTACTTGTCAGTTAAGATACTGAAATACCTAACAATCATTTGGTTAGTGGAGGGTGTGGCCTTCGGCTGCTTCAGGCTTCATTGTAAAGGATGGGGAAAAGGGGAACTACTTCATCCATCGGAAGCTGTTTTTGTGACCTTGCTAACTTTACCTGTTGTCCTGGAATTATCAATTGCTTAACAACTAGTCCTCCGCTCGAGTGGATTTTATTGAGAGTTTCTGAATGACCAAGCAGCATTTGACATCATTCTATTGACCTGGAGCTGTAAAAAGGCGTAATTGTTTCAAATTTCAAAGTCGAACTTGCAAGCTGTCAATTTTCGCGGTATTCGAATCATCCTACAAATAAAATGCAGCCCTTATTGAGGCGAATTCGAGTGGAATTTGAACCATTTTGGTTTTGCTACACAATTGTCTCTATTGTAAGACAAACAGGGCATCTAATTTCTGCAGAAGTGAGGCTATTGTTTCTGCACAAAAGGTCCGGAAGTCCTGCCGAATCATACGTAAACCTTTTTATGGAAGCAGACTTGTATTCCTTCCTTATTCATCCCTTCTATTCTAGATACTTAGTTCGCCGGAAATGTTACTTTGTATTCAAACCAATCTACACGTAGACACTCGAACTTTACGATTGTGTCCATTCTAAAGCGTTCATCATCAAAGAATGCACAATTTACACTAATCTCTTGATTTTAAAAATGTTTTTGCCATATAGCATATGTCAACTGCAATAGGTTTTGAAGTCGTAGGCTGGCAACCTCCAAAGCCAACGTCTCCAGTGTGGATATCGCATTATTCAAATGTTTTAACTTCTTTCTAATGATGTCCCTCTCCACCACACTTGCTCGTCTTGAAGCTTTTTGCGCGGGTAGTTGTGCGTGATTTCAAATTCTGGACCTCTATTCACCACCAGATGCTGTCGAGCATGCACGTGAGCACTCGACATACTGTATCAGGAATCATGTCCTCCACCTTTGTCTCTGCTATTAGCGCTGTAGAACGTGCTGCTCACCCCTAGGTGTAGTTTCACCACGGTAGCATTCTTGCACTTATACAGTACTGAACAGCGGCTAAGCCTCTACTTACAGTGCAGTTGGCTACCTTGATTCATCGCTTGAGTAGCCTTTTTTCGATAAATGTCACTTAAATGAAGTGGTAAAGGTTGGATCTGAAACTCGGTTATTGGTACTCTCGTTCACGAAGGCGAGGCCCTATAACAGTTCTCCGTTTCTCACTTTCAGCCAGGCATTTCTGTCTCGAGTGTTTGACATAATTACGGACGATTCCTCTTCTGCTGTCTGCCGGAACTCCGCAATTGAGGTATTCCTCGCTTGTGTGGACAAGGCAAAGTCGTGAGTAGCCCTCTCCGACAAATCCCTTTCTCCACTTAAAATGGCTGAGAAGATTTGGATTCACAGTTACATTTTCTATCCTTCAGTCCTACTGGTATGCCCCCAAGTGCGGCTGGGGAATACGACATTCCTTTGGATACTTTCCTCAATACCCAAGTGGCCAATTTCGTGAACCCCCTCATTAGCAAGGCCAATTGTCCCCTCTTGAAGACGCGGACTAAGCGAGTGGAAGCGCTGGCTTCCACCGTTGTCATTCCGCGTCTCTCTAAGCTGTACAGTCTCCTCCAATCAAATACTGTCATTGCTTCATCAGTACGTGTATACTTAGCTTTTGGAGGTAGGATAACTGATTTTATGTCTTCCATTTCACCGTGTAGCAACAGAACTACACCGTGATGCCAACCACAGTGGGCGTACTGAACCCTCCATTGGGAAAGAACCGTCTTGCGATTGTGAATCTTATCTCTATTCTCCCTCAGCTTCGTCAAAATCGGGATGACGCAGATCACGGTGGTGAAAGCGAGGAATTAAAAAAGGCCCTTTGTCAAGGACGCTTCCTGCCTTTCCTGATGGTAATTTTTTTACTGAAAACATTTCAGTAGCCTCGTGAGTGTAATCTTCCCACTTGTCGCCTGTAGTGCGATGTGACAGCACTGTAAGAAGTACAGAGAAAGCAACATATGAAAGCATTGCAAAGTTTTCAGTGGTCTATTTTTTTGTATATTTGATTGCAGCACCTCTTTGAGACGTACGCCTTCAATTCTCTCCTTCACAAAGCAATTGCACTGCTATTTAAACATCTCTTGTCTCCGCCTTCGCTCTCCTCTCAGCCACCATCAAGAAAGCCGTCATTTGGGACAAAAATGACATTAGAGGAATCAAATGGTGCCAGTTCTGACGTGGATAGTCCTAAATCCCAAGGTTAGATTCAGTGACTCCTTTTTGGTTTTAAGGTACTGGTGATGTCCTTACCCTTTTCTCGCTTGTGTTCCTTTGTTTGTGATGAGTAGCCAAGTTAGGCTTGAAAACCGGTTCCTAACAGTGTTTTCTCCCGACTATTTTACGCAGAACCTTGTTCACCTTTTCTTCTAAAACTTGGCTGTTAGGCTGTTATTTTTTAGCTTTTATTCATTAAACTTGTCTGGTTGTGATAGTCAGGTAGACACAACATCTCGTTTTTATGAATGTCTCTAGAGCCTTAACTTTATGTCTTTCGACAGAATTGACGAGGGACTCGATGTATGAGAATGAAACAGATGGCAGGAGTGTCCCAAGATATGATTTTCTTTGTGACTTTAAGCCCTTCGGCAGTGAATGTGTTGGTTGCTCTTTCAAACTCGGCGAACTTCTGCTGAAATGTTTATAAAAATTCATGTCGGTGAGCCTGTTTTGATCAAACTATTCTTGCTCCCTAAAGGTCTCGATCACTTTCGAGTAGCTGAGTGATAAACGCTTTGCTAGAACAAGCAGCACATTCGAAGTCTTGTATCAATTTGGATTTCACATCATGCTCAACACTAAATTTTGTAAATCTTAGTGATGAGTTACTAGGCCTTTTGATAGTGTTTTGCTCTCTTAGAGGTTTGAATGAGTAGGTTTCTTTACTCAGGTTCGAATTTTTAATCACTGTCGTTGGACAGGTTTGGTTTTGGGCGCCCTTTTACTAAAAACGTATCTTGTTGGAGAAGAAAAAGTTGCCATGTAGGTGAGAGAAGTAACTTTTTGTTTTGAAATGACAAAATTTTAAATAAATCGAGGTAAAAATAGCTTCACCAAGCGAATTTTGCATGGCAGGCCACGATCTTGTGGGCTTCCCATTGGTCAGAGGCTTTTTTTTGTGTAAAAGTGGAATGGCTTTGGTATTTTACAGACGAAATAAGGTTCAAGATTGCTACGCATCCTCCATTTTACGGTGTGTATAGAGTGTCTCTTCCTGGAAATATGGCACCCCTCTCTGACCGATTGTGGCAGCCTGATGCGCCTTGGAATTCTGCCACTAACTCATAGCTTTCTTATGCAGCGATTAAAATGAGACCCATTGTTCTGTCAGCCACGAAGGGAATCATATTTTCTTCACCTTTTACGAATGCATTCAACTGTATGCATTGTGGAGTTTAAATTGACATTGATCTATCGTTGGTTTTCAACTCTTGCTTTATAAAAGTTCACTTGAACCCGGCGGAAAGCTGGAGCAGTAAGCGTTACACCATCAAGAAGACACAACTTTTCCGCGAATTTCACGCACAGTTCTCTTGTTTTACATGTGATTTTTGTGTAGAGAAATTAGAGGTTTAGGAGCTGGTAATTCTAAATCCCATCCCTCAGATTCGAGCACTATTTAATGGTGGGTAAAGGTGAGGTAAACGTAAAAAAGCCTTAGGGAGGGGATAAAAGCGCCCTAGCCGGTAGGCGGAGACACATCTATGCTTTATGATATATGCGTCTTTCGGGCTTCTACGAGCCAAAACAAATTGTGTTCGGAGCAAGTCGTACAGAAATGCGCACAATCTTTTGCCCTCAATTCCAGTGTTTCCAGCTACGAAGCTACTCTGCATGCTTGTGCGAAAGGATTGGGAAAGATCTTGGCTTTCCAATATGCGATCTTTATCACCGTTTGTACTAGCAGAAATTGAGGTCTTTAGGTCGCTCAAAGGCGCTAACAATTTGAGAGCGCCTCTTGTTCCTCACAGAAAGCAGTTACCTCAATAGCAGTCTCAATTTAACTTATTTTTTGGCTTTAAACAATGGTAAATAGAGGGGTAGTTGTAATTCCCTGGAACCAGCGCTAGTATTCCATCCTTTTCGATCCCTACTTTTGAGAACTGAAAGGGAGAATTGACTGGCGACGGGAATATGTTCCTTTATAAACCCATAAAAGATACCAAATGGTCTAAGCTCAACAATGCCTTGGATTCTGTTAAATGTTGATGCAGTGTATCCGGTTAAATTTAAAAGGCGATATTTAGACGTTGTAGTAGGTCCGTCCACTTTTCGGACGTCATTTACTTGGAGTTTCGCTTATTGAGTGAGAGGAGCCTAGAACCTCTTTAGGTGTTTTACACCTTAGTCCCAACTCCTCCGATAACATTTCTCTTCCGCTAGAGGATGAGATGCTATGTAAAGGGGCGGTTTGGCACTGCTTTGAGTCCCATTTCGCAAGGATTACACCTGCATTTATGATTACTCCGCGCGCTAATCTCGGTCCTGCTTGTAAACTTTTCACTTGCCAAATTCATCTGAGTGTTCGCTAGACTCCACTTCTATTCTTACCTAGCAGGCGTAAAAGCTACACTTTCTCATCTTTTGTAAAGTAATCCCATGAATTCGATTTCATATGAGTAGAATTAAGGGCATTCGAATTTTATGTCATCGTTGTTGCTACAGCCGCTTGCTTAAGGGCGTCGTCACTGAGAATGTAGGAGATGACTTGGTTTAAAAGTGGTCATTCGGTCAGCTTATATCCATACAAAGCTAAAAGAAACTGCTGATATGTAGAATGCCCAGCTTTGTCTCCGCAGACATTGGAATCTGGTGTTTTAGTTCAAAGGCGACGCAAAAGAGTTACGTTGCTTCTTATGCAGCTGAAAACTACTTGTCCTTGTCTTTATTATCCCTACGATTCTAACGGTTGAGCTTTTTTTTTCGCAGGCAATACCCCCAAGGACACAGAGGGTGAAGTGAATAGAGGGAAGAGTCAACTGCCTGACTACCTGGTGCGGCACCTTCTCGACGACTGCCACATCATTGAATGGATCCTTCGACTCTCCTGCATTCCCACCGATCGGTAAGTTCATCCTCACTTCGTTCGTTCACTCAGCCCAGATCTCTATCCTAGCCTATATTTTTCTGCTTGTGTTTGCAGTAGTTGGTAATCGAACGACAGATTGTGGGGTCATTGTGAATAAGCAAATCTGTCTTATATGCTTCAACGTAATAGGAGGTAACGTTGTGTCGTCCACCGCTCTCATCTCAGCTCAACTTAAGCCACGCTTTACTCGCCCAATCCACGTTGTTCACTGATCGCTTGTTTGTAAGATTTTATTCCTATGTTCTGACAAAATTCCTTCTTCCTTCCCAATTGTAATCTTCCTTGTTTAAAAATTTGATGATTTTGTTGCACTCCTCTCCTCCTCACCTTCCTTTAGACGATCTCATTTTTATCGTACTTGTTCAGTAAAATTAAGTTGATCTAATTTTGTCTAAAAGACCACTGCTTTCATTTTCATTTGAGAGAGGTCACCCAGCGCTACTCACTGGATCAACCTCGGCTCGAGTATGCTTCTTGAATAAGCCTAAATTTTATTTTCAAATTTGCGAACTGGCAGATTCGTTGCTTATTTCGCATTGGCATTTAATTTGTGTTTGTGTCGTGAAAAAATACGCTGGTTTTTGAGCCAACCACAGAAGCTGTAGTAATACTGACGGAGCCCAAGTACGGCAGTTATCAAAATAAGCTAACTTGGCACATCTGGGTATATGAGCCGTAAAATCCCATCCTTAGTCCAGTCGGAGATTTCATATTTCATGCCCGAGGGATTTTTTCGCTATTTGCAAATCAGTTCGTGATTTAAGACAACAGAGAAACGGTGACACGCAATTAAAGTTGAATTCACTGATATATTTTTTTTGTTGCCACCTGGAGAGTGGACCTATCGAATGTACTGACAAATACATTAGCAAACTCGTGTACCCAGGCGCTTGTCACTGGCTTTATAGCCTATTCACGACTTCAGCTAGTCCAACCTCCACCTTCCCCTGCATTATCTGAACTCTCGAGCGATCCTAATTCCCTGTCAAAGTTGAGATTCTCAGTCGTTTGGCTAAATTTTCAATTTGAATCTCACTTTTTACACCTATTTACGTGTTTACAGGCATTAGCTCAAGTTGAATTTCCTTTGAGTCATCTAGTTACCGCTTTTCGTGTAAAAAAACATGGTCTAGTGCTCTCAACATTGTCCTTCCGAGTTGCACCTGATCTCCACGAATTTTGTGTCTTGGTTTTGGGGAGGACTGTCAACTTGCATTCAGGTAGACAACATGGAGGACATGTTTTGCATATATGTAGTCGCTTTTGACACAAGTTCTAACCGTCCAAGAGGTTACAAATTTCACGAAATATAACCACTTTGTGTTCACCTCTGCTTCATGGCTCTTCTGCTTCCCACGGATTTAAGGCCAAGCAATGAGGAGCCCTCATCGGTCTGTCGGGTCTCCAAAACTCGTCCTAAGCCGGGCTACTCTGGCTACCTCTGGCAGATCGCGAACCTCGTGAACTCCCACTTCCCTACACCCGAGTCTCTAACAGGTCTGTTGTCTACTGTTTGTTTGCTTTGAACAAGGTCCTCACTTTCTCGTCTCCATCTCTTCAACATCCAGTTCTCTTTGCTATTCTCAGTATTGGCATCAGTGAGTGGCGTAATGAGGTAGAAATGGAGGTGATCAAGGGATGACTTTTTAGTCTGGTCACAAGAGGCAAACCGTTGTGTAAAAGGCGACTCTCATCTAGCTTATGTCCCGTTCAGATTGGACTGTCAATGGCAGATTGTAGTGGTGATTATGTCAACGAGTGAAACGGTTGAAGCTTTCTACGCTTATCTGGTTAGATTTTTCAAAAATAAATCCTCCATTTTTATTCCTATGTCATTTGTCGGCATTTTAAGGAATGCTTATTGAAGCTGTGAATTTAACCGTTTATTGCACAGTTTTTGGCCTCCGTCATCATTTGATTCATCCTGGACATCTGTGATCGAGTGGTGGGTTTGTTGTTGCTGAAGCTCTCATACTTTCTCAATTTGGCTACATTTTGTCCCTAATTTTACTTTCAATATGTCCATTTTTTCCTCTCTTCACCTCTCTATCATTTAGGCCTCCCATCGGAAGTTCTAACCGAATGGCAGATTTTTGTGCAACGTGATCTTGCTGCCATCAACGAGGCACAAACCATTACCAAGGTAAGCCTTCTCTCCCTTCCCTCTCCTCTCTCGTACTTAGTCCTCGTCTTTTACCCGATGTAAAGATTTGCTTCATAGGTAATAGGCGCAGGTATTTTCAATCCACCAGACCCTTGAATAATTGAGTTTTGTCTAATCGGACAGTTTCGTGTCTTTCTTTTAGGCCGACAGAAGTTTCGAGAAACCGGCTCCCATTTCCCTTGGTGCTCTACACATCGGTGAACCCGACTCCCACATGGCTCAGTTGTTCAGGGTGAGAATGCATTTATATCCTGCCCTCTACCTCACTTTTCAAATCATACCATGCGTTCCATCTTCTTCTACTTGGTGAGTCGGTAGAATTTATCCCCTAAGGATTTAGTAGGAGGGGCGAGTCTTCTTCCTTGCTGAACAAGGGCTAACTAGTGGGTTACATTTTCACTCCCTCTGCGATGGATGTACTTGTTTTGCTTACTCTCTGTGCATCTTTCCTGTGCTCTTTTTGCAATTCTTCGTGGTGATGATTGTCGGTGGCGTTTTTTCATCCGTCTCCATACCCCCACACACCTTCCTCTTCGATGCAACTTTGGTTGGCGTTTTGGTGGTCGTGATTATTCCCAATCACTTTATCAACACTTTCTCGTCTCCTTTTGGCCTCTTTTGTGGGCGGCATTCCAGACAGCTTAAAATGAATGTGTCCTCAGTGTAAATGCACTCATTCGAGAGATGATTTTCCAAATCTTTTTCATTAAACGAATATTGTTCATTGAGTGCCTTGACTTCGCGAGAAAAATCTGGTCAACAGCAAATTATACTGACGGGATTGAGATGGCCTCTTGTGCGGCATCCATTCCTTTATTCTCGCATCTTCGTAGATCATCTTTCTCACTCTTGCTCGGTTGCGAACACGACACCGGAATACGAGCAGGCACTAATCCGTCCATCTTTTTGTCTTGATTCTAGACCAAAACGGGCGAATGCCGGTGTTTGTGAATTACCCCACCTCCTCCCTTCCTACCTCTCTCCATTCTAATTTCGCTGTTGAAAATTGCTCTGCGCTCTCATTCTCCCACCTTCACCTTTCTACTTGTAGTAGAGTGTTTCGATTCAGTGCACGTGCACACACGCACACACCCTCTCTCCCAGTCGTCTAATAAATGCTTCCCGTTTTCACTACCTCAGTGATCAGTAATTGGTTGCAGAGTGGACAGTTGGGGTGGATTTATGAGCTGGATTCAAGAGGGAAGCCTCCAATCCCTCCGAGCTAATTTTCATTAATGCTTCCTAAAGCATAACCTTGGTAATGTCATGGGGGTCCGTCACTTCTGGGTTAATACGTCATTACGACTGACAAACTCTGATGTATTTGGATGATTGGCGCACATTACTTTCTTTTTTTTTTCATTTTTAGCTCCTTCATGGCGGTACCGACCTCCAGTTTCTGTAAGTTTTCCTTTCCATCTTGTGAACACTGAGGTTCTTTCAATACCAGTTGCGTTTATTTTTGACCACCTGTTCTAGCTAGAATCTCACTTCAGAACATCGTTTAAACTTCCTCACTCTTTTCTTTTTAGAACATCACGATTGGGTTCCGTCGGAGGACGTAGCCTCTCAGATGCAGTTCCTCACCCCGATCCCAACGAGGATGCCTTTGATGATGACACCAACAAGGAGGTTGCATCTGCGGTCAACCTTGAGGGTCGTCATGGAAGTGATATAGACGAAGATGAGGATGAGGAGAGGCAGGCAGGGGTCGGAGATAGTGATGTGGAGGTTGGTAACAGTAGTAATTCCTCGGATGAGGAGGACCTTCAATCCCCAATGACCATTCGTCAGCAACGAACCAATCAAACGCCGGTCTTTCTTAACTCAACAAATGGTCGTCTACCCTTTGCTAAGCCAGTAGACACTTGTAAGTCTATCCTCCCTCTAGAAACCATATACTATTCTGGATGCATCTTAGATCCAAACTATAGATCTCTCTCTCCCTCTCAGCAATCTCACCGTGGACCTCAGTGACGACAATTCCCACCTCTTCTACTGTTGGCCTAAACAACACTGGGAATGCCGCCACACTAGCTCTCGAAGAAGATAATGGAGGGGGTGGCACCGACCAAGACAAAGACTGGGCTGATTTTGAGTCTGCTTCCTTCGGTCAGTTTGGACTTTGTGTTGGCGCCTATTGCAGTACCCTTTAATGGTGAAAACACAGATCAACTAGTCGTCCACTAAGTTACTAACAGGAATGAATAATCATTTTGATGTTCTGAGATCGGGTAATGGTACAGAAGGGCAATAAAGAAACATTTATTCGTTATGAACAAAAACTCTTTTTTATCACTCTTTTAGTCGATGACTGTCATTCTTCTTCTATTTTAGGCGGGTGAGGAAATCAACGACATCTTCCCAGCCTACTTCTTCCCCTCCCCCTTGTTCGTACCTCTATTGGCGTTTCTCGCCACTCTGGCAGTATTTGTTGAATAGATTCTTCCATTGCCTCAATAACCTGCCCAACGGCTCTTCTTACTATCCGTTTACCTATTCACCTGCCAGTCTACATCCTCTACCGTCTTGTCGAATTGCACCCTTCTGTTGAAGTGTTGGTTGGGCCGGGCATCAGTGTCATTCACAGGTAATTCTTTACCTGTCTAAAAGTTGAAATGATTTATATTGGGTTTTTCTCAGTTCGTATTCTGCAGAAATTGACTGACTTTGGGGTAGAATGCGCCAAAAGTGAGGTGTGGGCAGGGAGAGGTAGGTAGCCCCGCATTATATTTTGAGTCTTTTTTGTCTCAATTGGGTCCCATCCAATTTTACTGGTCTTGAGGCAAGATCTGTGCACTAGGTACAACACAAAATAGCGGGTTTCAAGTGATAAACGAGGCGGAGAAAGTGTTTATAAGCTCAGACTACAAAGATAACCTGCTTGGGGCAAAGGGGGCGGAAGGAAATCACTGGCTAATTCCACCCTTTCTGACATTAGGTCATCACATGATCGTTTTCAAACCGAGAGTAGGGAGTGGAGCAGTTATTTGGTTTTCGAAACAGTGAGCTGTCCTTTTGCACCGTGGCAGCTGGATTCTGGGAGTCGTCATTCAAAGTGGCTTTCCAGCCTCTTCGCCTTCAACCTTACTGCAATGGATTGTGTCAGACATTTTCGAACATTCTTCAACACCTAAGTTTTCAACCTTACGAGCAATTAACAAGTAAAAGAACCTAAAAGATATAAGCCTTGGCGGAGACAGTAAATAATTTAGCATTTCTTCTTTGCTTCTTACATGAGGACCGTAAATATTAGATAATATGGCGCTTTTTGCAAAAGCCATGGTTTAAAGTGTGTGCTACTCCAAAGAATAGTGAATGCTGCACAAACCTATTTTAAGTAGGTGAAGAGCAGCATTCGTAAATGACAATTTAACTAGTAAATTTGACCTAGAGTAAAGTTGAGGGAGTTGAAAAATAAATAGCCTTTTTTGACGGTATGTTGCAGCAGTGGTTATTAAACTACCCGTTGTTTTTCTTAACCGATGAGGATGTCCGTCAATCTTTGGATGCCAAATGACTTTGTTTTAGCTTTTCACTACATGTTTTTGCTGGTCCTTGAAATGCATCCTACTTTCCGAGATATTCAATCAGAGTTTTTTGCCCAAAGCGAAAGATATTGAGGCAATATGTGAATGCCTCCCGTCTTATCATTTCATAACACCATTCACAGGGGAATCAAAGCAATAAGATTCCTTTTGCTCTCAGAATTCCAGTTGACTTCCCTTTGCCGAATACTTCATTGCCAATGCGGCTATGCAAACATGTTTGATAATCAGTTGTACGTTGTTTTCTTGCCTTGGGAAAATTTGTCGGACATAAATTTGCGCAAGTAATGAGGCACTGCTAAGGTGAAGTCCTGTCAGGATCTGTCAAAGCCTGGAGCGCTTAAAAACATTGCCATCATTGTGATGCGTAATGGCCAATGAAGTTATGGTAAATAATTTTGATGACATTACTTGAGTTTTTATTATTGTACTTCTAAATCGCTGATAAAACCCGCCCAAAGCGAATCTACAGCGAGCCAAAACGCGAAGTATTGACACGTAGGTGCACTGGAAGCACTGGATCTAATGTAATTGCAAGAAAATTACCAGACAAAAAGATGCTTATATTGTCACGTCTTTTGAACTGGTGTTGCCTATCCATTTGGAATGAATGCAACTTGATTCTTCACCTTTTCCTCTCCCAGTTCACATCGCATTCTCTGTGACTTCAATTCATTTCATTTGACGCAAATTTAAATTTCTCAAATTTTCATGATGAAGGCTGTAAAATCTAGTGTAAACAACGTTACAACGGTGTGGAGTTTGCAACAAATGAGCGCAACTTTTTGTACCTTCGCGTTTCTCATAAATCTCTCGTGAGAGACTCTAACACCAGCTTTAGGAAGGCGTCTTCCACGTTGTGGATGCGCTAGCAGTAGTGCTCTTTTATCTCTTCGTCCGTGATTAACAAACCCTTCCAGGTGCTATGGGATTTTGGAACCTTCAAAGTCAGTCCATTTTTTTTGCATTTACACCCTCTTTTCGTTACGTCGACAAGGGTATAGTTATTTTAATGTATTGTATTTGCCTCCTCCTCCTCCAGTAAAAAGGTACGAGTTTGAGCCTTGATTGTAATCTCTCCGTCATTCTCTTCCACCTTCCTCTTGATAGGCTTTTCTATAATCTGTTGTCTTTGGGAAGCTTTGGCTGGTGATGTTTCGTCTTCCCTACGTTCGAGGATGTGGATGAGATTTCCATTTCGTCTGCTTTAATGTACTGCTGCAGAGACTTTGTACAAACCTTACCTCACGGCAATCAGAAGCAAAAGCATTATTCATAAATTAATTTGAATGCTGATTCAAAATTAGTGACAAAATGCTAGAAGATGGTCATTGCCATTTAGGTGAGAAAAAAACCTTCTCTTGTGTTCATGGAGGAGCGCGGGTGCGCCTATCCAAAAGCTTTAAATCATGTTTCATGTGATTAGTGTGACAGCTTGCCTACGATAACATCAACCGATTAACTTATTGTGACTTACATACGTGTGAATCCCATCAATTCAACACAATTTGAGCAATTCGTCATGGTAATCATCTTTAACAGTTATCGAAGTGCTCTAGACTTGCAAAGCGAGCGTACGATCATTGGCGATGCCACATCGCCAAGAAGAGCCCCAACTCTCATTAACATTGCCAAGCTCCAGAGATGGAATAGTTGCCAGTTTGACACGATGTAAGAAATTCTGATTTTCGGTATTGCAAATGAGATTCATAGTAAAGTTGGAAAGTCTCGGAAAATTGAAAAGGCCTTCTCGTTCAGTAATGATACTGTACCGTTGAAGGGCGTCTGGTAGACTGAGAGATGGTACAAGTTGAATATTCACACAAGATTTTGAGGATCCAAGACCGGGTACTACTTTTGTGTGATAAGGGAATTGTTGTTGCCTTTGTGAAGGGGAAGCCACTATTGAGTTGCTTCGATAGTCCAACACCACTGATCGACGTGGGCTACAACGTGACATGCGGAGTCCAACAACACGTATTCGTGATACTAGCACTAAGTGTGATAAGGGTTGGTTTGTTTGAGCAATAATTCCACTTTTGCCTTTTGTCACGAGCGATCACCAGCTGAGAAATCAGACCAAATGGCCACATTAAGTCTGCTCCAAAAGATCATTTCTTTGTTGCAAATATCTGATCCTTTGAACAGTAATTGCCTGAGGAACGATGTCCATCAGGGACGTGCAGTAGAACCGCTTCTGCTTCTCATGAACTGAGAGTGAGTTGATCATTGCAGTCCATGTAATGAAGGATTTGATTTAAAATGCTTACAAATGAGGAGCAAAACAAAGTTTAGACAATGCTGTCAGATTGCTGCTTAATGTTGAGATGTGTACGGAAAAAAAGGGAGAAGGAAGAGTAACACCATTTGACGATAATCAAAATTTTGTTTCCGCCTTTCGTGCCTACAAATGAAGCACCCATTTCCTTTGTACAAATCACCAATTTAGAGGAGAAATTAAAGGTGGTGACAAATCGCTTAAAACGGGCAAATGAGGGTTTTCATTGCCCCATTCCCCATCTTCCTGGTTCCACCCTCTCTCCTTCCTACCCCTTCCAACTTATGCCTTCAGCACTGCAGGAGGACTAAGAGACAACACAAAAATTAATTTGTGCACGCAACGATTTCATTGTTTCAGCGCCTTTCACAATAAAACTACACCAATTAACATGCGATTCGGGCGTGGAAATAAATTTCCCTTAGCAAAATTTTCTTTCTACTTTGGATGAGTTAACAAGTTGGTAAGGAGAGGTCATGGGTCGAAAGATTGTTTGAGTCTACGTTACTAAAAGTGCTTTTTTGAACAAGATTACAGCTGTATTATTATAAGTATTTTATGCTTTAGCTAAGGCAATGCTGCAACAAAGTATTGGCTCTTCGGAGTTGCCCATCTCCCACACCTACTGTGTGTTTGTAAGTAGTATATTCTCTCAAAGTACTTGAGTTAAGATTTGAGGAAGATATGGATGCGTTGATTCTTTTGCTTTTCTAAAAATCTTAATCTGACAATCAAAATCCGATTAAAAGTGCCCAACATGAATGGGTAATGGTGCCTCACACGTCTCTCGATTGCCCCAGCACCAAGACCAAACAATCCCATTCAAAACCAAGTCATGTTTTTCTCCCCACTTCACATCTCTTTCAATCGCACGGCAGGCGTTGATGCACCTGTGAGCACATCACAAATTACTTCCACGCCTTCTTTTGTATCTTTCATCGCTTGGTAGCTAGATGGGGCGATGGTTCTAGAGATTCTACAAAAGTCTTCAATGCTCAACAGTACAATTTTTACTAGCCTGGAAGAATTGGACAATGTACCGCTTTACAGCTGCAAATGATGGTTTACATGCTTTAACATCATCACTTTTGCCAAATTTTGACATTTTGGACAAAGTATGAGGTTTAATGGCATCAATACATTTCTGCAGTTTCTGCCTTCTAAGCATTTGTTGGGAGAATTACAAAGTAAGTTTAGCTTGTACAGATAATAACATTGTGAAGTGCTGGCTAAATGTCAGCTGACAGCAATTTATCACTCTTTGGAACTTGATTTTGATGTTGTGTCTTCATGAGTCCTTTTTTGGAAACTACATCGCCCATTTGCGATGACTAATAGGTCAAGGACAGACTATGGGATAAAACTAGAAAATGTGCCTTGGAACCCCATCTTTACACGATTCAGACTGCCATTCTCCGCAAATTTGTCTAAATTTACAACACTAAACGTACTCTTATGGAAGCAGAGGAGTATGAATGTCGAAGAATAACTAAAAGCAAACGATTGGTTTCTCAATTCAAAGAAGAATCATACGACTGGTAAACATTCATTTCAACACATCTTTTGCGCATTGTACTAATTTTCACAACTCATCCCCACCGGTTCTCAGCTGCTCATTCTACCAACGAAACAGCCAATCCCAATGCAGGGATCACTACTCGTCATCCCCTCAACCAATGGCCAATGCGCAAGCGTACACATTTCCCACAACGAGCTGGGCAGCGAATCTGCTACCACAACCTCATTTCTTCGCATTCCATGGCCATGCAAATCTCCATCGCCATCATCATCACATTCACCGCTCTCTCTATTGTTAGAGCCGACAGACGTCAAGAGGTGCCAATAGCTGGCATCTTTGAAGCGGGTTCCGTCGGTGAAAGTGCCTTCTCATTCGCCGTCTATGTGTATAACAAAAATTCGCGCAATCCCTTTTACCTCCTCCCAAAGTTGAGTATTCTTGTTCCACCTCACGATGCCCTCCGTGTGATGGATAGGTTCTGTGACCTTGTCAGTGACAACGTTCTTGCCGTCTTCGTCAGTGAGCTTGCATTTGACGGAGAAGTGAATAAAGTACTTGCTAACACCGCGGCAGCACTACAAATCCCTCTAATCACGACAGCTGATGGGCGAGGAGGTGTATATACTCGAAACCTAATGCCAACTACTACAGATGCCCTGGCGGAAGTGCTGGTTCATGAGAATTGGACGACCTTTGCCTACCTTACCACAAGTATGGAGGGCGTTGGAAGATTAGGACAATTGATTTGGGAGCTTCAAGAGCGGGGAAGCAACTTGAGTTTGGCGGAGGTCACGGTGCACTATGTAGGTGTCCGCGGGATCGAGGAAAAAGAATTGCAAGAATCTCTTGTAGCGCTGGACGGAGCATTGAAAAAGAGAGTTACAAGGAGAGTGGTAGTCGACTCAAGAGTAGCGGAGACCAACCAATTGATGCGAATGTTTTCGCGCATGGGAATGAATAGAGGCGAGTATGAGTTTCTGTTTGCTAGTCTCAATGTGGCCGACACGGATCTGGTGGACTATATTTACTCCGGAGTTAAATTGGCAGGGTTTAGACTGATGGACCCAGACGTGAGTATTTTGCCTATTGCTTTCTTATGCCTCATCTCTAATAAAAAATCTTGCATTAACAATTGAAGAGTGAATTGGTAAAATTACATGTAGGAGTTATTATTAGGGATGTTTGGAAGAAAAGCTCTTCAATAAATATTTGATTGTGTTAAGAGTCGTGTGACTGAGACAAATTCGTGACTTACAGTGCATGCAAAAAATGAATTGGGCGTTCTATTTACCGTTTTGCGGTTGTCTCTCCAAGTAGCCCTTGGTTGAATGACAGCAACAACTGTGGGAGGAAATTGCATGCTCATAGGCCATTTTTTAAAGTTAGTTCTGGGTGATGAAAGAGGTTAGTGAGCTCGAGACGCATCACACCCTCTCCGGTATCGCTTGAAGGTCGTCAAGTGGGACTGATACGCATGAGTCGGTTGAGCCGGCCACCCTGCCCTTGCGAGCGGCACGTGCCGCGTATCTGTGATAGCTGCCTTAAGGAAGAAGTTGAATGAGAGTTTGCTTATATTTGAATAAGTCAGGAGAAGATGCTTTTTCTGCCACTTTAATTTAATTATATTTTAGCCATGGATTGTATTAACAAGCTTAATCTATGATGCCTTAGCTCAACGTGATTCTAAACTTAGCCGATAAAGTGGTGTAAACTGGTGAACATTGTGGCACTATATTACTCACTATGTTAAGACTAACTGGTTTGATGGCTGTGTTGTCTTAGAAAGAAGAACGTAGTGCTGACAAGATTGGCTTAAGCGGAGTCCAGACTTTTTTCCAATCATATGAAAAGTAGCAAACTTAAGGGGTTTAAGTCGTGTTTTCTTTTCTTGCGAAAGCTCCTAAAGGGAGAGACACGTAAAGGTATAAGTGTCGTTAATGCCTCTCTAGGTCATGTTAAGGCCAAAAAGGTTTAAAACAAACATTTTATCGAAAATCGTTACAGTTTAGGTTTTGTTTAATTTAATTTTTAAACGAGTTCAGTTTAACACTCCGAAACTTCTTTACAGACAGCCAGTTGTGCAGTATTTAAATAACGTCCATGATATGAAAATAAAATGGCAGCTCATTGTAATCTAGGGAGTGGCTCAAATGCCATCATACTCAGCGGAGGCAAAATGGTATTTTAGGTGAGCGCCATGGCCACTGGAAACCAACTATACAAAATGTTGCATATGTTCCTCCTCTTTTGAGCAACATATACGGTGCTCTTCTCTACAAACCTTTCGCGTTCATTAGTCGCAGTGTACTTGGGGCTGCAAGGAAACACTCACTAGCCAGTCATCTCAGTTAGCAACTCCAATATGACTAAGAGAATGCAACAGACCTTAATGTTACGGGCCTTCTCCAGTCCATAACATGGGATCTGCCGGCCATCGCATTTGTCCAGAGCTGAGCGTTGGAACACTTATGTGGAAGGCCATTCGTTGCAGTGGATGCAGGTTTCAATGCAGTTCTGTTTGGAAAGCGGTCCTGCTCAGTTTCGCATTATCCATACTTATAAACAGGTATGGTAAGGGGATTCAAAACGAAGTCTTATCGGAAGGCTCATAACAATATCGGTCCCTTTGTAAATAGTCTGCCTGCAGAAACAAATATGAGAAGACTCGAAATTGGATGGCAAATCCTGTCTTGCAGTTTTAGAATCCTTCAAAAGCTTTCCCGTTCTGAGCCTATGCACGCCATTTGTTATGCTAAGTCTACCAAAATACAGTGAAAATTAGGATTGAATTCGTTTTAAATTTGTGTACTCTTTACGCCACACTCCGGTGTAGCATTATGAGACTGCTTTACATAATACTTAGGCAGTATGAATGCACCCAGAGGGGAGGGATGGTGCCATGGTCTATCGCAAGGCTAAAAAGCCAGTCCAACTGCCCTTCCCCACTACCACATGGCAGAAGTAATACGATCGCTCAAGCGACCGCAGGCGACAAGAGAGACTGAACTGTGAGAGTGTCGCATTCACCTTTAATTTGTCTTTTCGAATACCTAAAACCACCTTAACTGTACAAGCACAAATGAAGGCGAACGCATGCAAACAAATCACTTTCGTCTTTAATGGTATTAGTGAGACAGCGTTGTAAGAAGAGCCAAAACTCTTCTGACAAGCCAAATAAAGCTTTTTGTGTATGGCATAAATGAGGCGTTCGAGGGCACAGGATGCACATTTTAATGCTGTCTCTGCAATAATAAACGAATTATCTCCACTCGCACATTTGTTTTGAAAATAGGGCTGCGTGAAAATGGGACGCGCTGGGAAGGACACTCTGGTAACTTGGCCAGAGGTGAAATGACTCCCGCCGCCTGACCATATTGCATTTTCATTGTTTAGAGGAATCACCAACTCCTTCATGAACCACCAAATCGTTGACAAACAGATTTTCCCAGTTAGAGTTCAAGATAACTAAGTAGGTCATGTTTCATCGCATTTTGCCTTAAAGAAGTTTATTACAACAACAACACTGCAATCAGTCAACGGATTTAACAACTCTTCATAAGTACAACTACATTAACCACATTTTTTTATCGTTCGACTGCAATTGGAAGGAGTTGTCAAGACGTGCTTTTTGACACATCGGACAAAGGGCACAACATCGTAAAAACTAACCCACAATAGGAGGACTCCTGTTCTACCACCGCACAAACGAGTTGTCATGCAGAGCCCCGTTAATTTTATATTTTGTCAATTTAAACAATCTCCTCTTCGATTATTCAAAGCTCGAGTTTAGTAATGCAACTCAAAGTGAGAGAGGAAGTAAGCAGATGATTGAAGCTTTGCCACACCTACACCGTGGAGCATCCACAGGGTGGCCACTGACACCGTGCCTCCTTATTTATTCAAAAACGGGACAGTTATTAGAGCAACATCATTTCATTTTCGTTCATTTGCAAACTGCGGCATCGGAAATGTTCCTTTTATCAACACGATCATCACTATCAGAGGAGCTTCAAAAATTAAGCCCAGGAAATGGAAACAATATCTTTTTTGGAGAGGAGACGATGTGAGAAAATTGTTAGAGGGGTCTTTTTTCAAATGCTCAGCAAAACGCAGCCTTTTTTATTTCCTATTGGATGCATTAAAATTTGGAGACATACAATATTCTAGTAAAATCATGCCATAGGTGCACTTTATTTCGCATGCTTGTTTGTCTCATCGTTGCCACGCGCTATAAAACTTGTAGTTCGGTAGCTTCCGCAGATTTAAAATTTATTAACTATCATTCATAACACAGAATAGTCTGAGTAGGAAAGAAAGTAGAATAGAGCCTTTCACATTAATACGAATGGGAATGCTTGCATGCATCATCTACATCTCTACTATTTACAACATCGCGCTGTGTCAAGCCTGCTTTGACATCCGATTGAAGCCTTTTCTCAGGCCATTACACAATCATACTATTTTCGTATGCACAGATTTCCTTGAATTTTAGCATTATAAAGCAGAACCATTTTGTAAATTTGAGAATCTCGACGAACACCAATTGGAGAAATCTTAATCCAATTTTAAAGATTTAACGTTAACCAATAAATTCTTCGATAACACTTCGATTCCACCAATGGGAGAAGAGCATTGTTGCCGTGCCATTTCCATTGGTCAAGCCCATGTGAATAAACCAATCGCCGCGAAAAGCAAAATAACGACCCTCTCGTAACACCTCCGTGGCTAACATCGCACCGTTTCATAACGGTCTACAATACTTGATTATCACATTTCATACATGAGCGTTAACTGGTTCAGAATAATGTGAGCCTTCTTTGATTCGCACCCACACTATATGCTGGTTCTAGGACCGCCAGTATATCTAAAAAATATCATTTGCGTACTCTGTCAGCGCAATGATGTGAAACAATTCGCTGCCGATTGGAACAACTGGAACAGTCGCAGTTCCACTGTTCCTAACCTCGCGCCCACCGCTTTTACCACCGCTACCTCTACACCGCCTTTCTACCACGCCGCTCTGATGGCCGATGCTGTGGCACTCTTCACCTCCACATTGCATTGTCGCCTTCAGCAGATGGAACCGCATCGGGCCAACGCTTCGCTGGCTGAACTCACGGCAGCCGCACTACAGATGCGTCAGCAATCATCATTAAATGGCGGTAGTGGTAGAGGCGATGGTAATGGACGGTCTGGATGCTATTTGGGCGGTCGACTGATGTATCAACACGGAGCCTACCAGGTTCGCGGACTGGGAGCAATTGCGGAGTTGAGGAGACACTTTGTGGCTGTAGACGTTGGTGATGGATGTGGTGATATGGGACTGCGTGGGTTGACAGGAGATTTGCGTACTTGTGTGGAGGAAAGAGAAGTGGGAGAACTGGTGCTCTGGTCGGCCATGGATACAACGGGACTGCAGCCGGTGGCCAGGGTACTCGATGTTTGCATTTTTTATGTCTTTTCGACCGCATCAGTGTTTTCTATGAGTAAAATTGGTTCACAGAAAAATATTGTGAATCTAAGTTAAAATAAAGCTTAACGACGGTCAAGTCTCCCCCCC